TTGTTGCAAGGGTTCTTAACGTGCAAAGAGCGTGACCGTCTCTTTACACGAGACATCGGATTTAACGTCCCCATTCTGACCGGACGTGGCTGCAAATTTATACATCCCGCACAGCCAAACGGACGCCCCACTTTGGCAAGGGTTTTACTGCCGGTCGGAGGAAGGACAATGGTGACCATACTTCTATTCCCCAGTCACCCTTTTGTATTATGCCATGATGGCTATGCATTAAGATTAATTCTGGTTAGGAACCACTCAGTCACAAGCGCGGTCGCTTAATACGGCAATATCCATGAATTTTAAACACAGTTAATTTGAAAACACTAGTCAAAAATAAATGAAAATCGTCTTCTTCTGTGCGACATCAAAAACCACCCTTTTTTCATCGCAAATCATTAGCAAGTCGAGGAAAACACCCGATATACCGTACCTTACCTTTTCTCTATTGGCCTTGGTATAGATTCGGGATAAGCTGTATTTGGACCGAGAGCCAAGTCAGCTGACCTAGAATATATTCAACGGCCAATACAGAAACAGCAAGTTCATAACATTATACATCATGATTCTTCGATTAACTAAGAACCTTTCCGGGAATTAGAAAATTATATTTGAACTTATCTTTCCCAGCTACGATGCATTTTTTGTCAATATTGATTACATTTCTTCTTTTTTTTTGTCCCTGAAATACATTTTATTTAGCAAATAAAACGAAGCCTGGGAGAAAGAAATCATGCGTTTAATCATTCTTATTGTTTAAACCGTCTGCGTTCTGATAATTTATCGACGGAAGTGAAATAGCGATATCCTGATCGGAAAGTGTTTGTAATATGTCGGCATCAAAACGAAACAAAACAAAGAACATAGTTTCTATGTTGTTTTAGGTTACATGCACCGAAATACGTCCAAAGCTTAATGAGGCGTAAAAATTGCAAGCAGTTTCAGTTGTTTTTATTGAATAAGGTAGTGCTATATGTACGATAACCGAATGTGTATATTTTAATCCTGGTATCTATAAGTTAATTATTTTTCATTGTTTTTGTTTTCTGTTTGCCCGAGTATTGTCTGTTTGATTCTACTACGGCATTTGGTTGCTCCATTTTTATAATCTCCCTCTTTTTATTAAATCATCTGGTAATTTATTCTATAGTTTATGCTTGTCAATATTTATCTAATGTCTGTTTTATTTATCTTCATCCATATATAATAACAAATAGTAATCTGCTTTATTACAAAAGTACAAATAAATCTGTTAGATATGATCTTAATTGGATTTTTGAATGCGAAACAATGCTTTTAAAAAAACAAAACATAACCAATAGACTGTTTTCATATTACCGACTTTTGACTCCGGATTATATAATTTGTCGACTGGTTACCTTGGATATCATGGTACCAAGTCAGGTAAGAGCAAGCTAAAGAAGTAAAACCAAGCGTTCAATCGGTACAATTTTGGGGGAAAATTACCTGCTTAACATTTTTTTTTCACTACAAAATCATCGGAAAACAGTAAACTTTCTCCTCAAATTACACCGATTATATGTTTGATTTTACTTATTTTGGTTGCTCTTACTTGACCGAGTACCATAATGTCCAAGGTAACCTGTCGACAAATTATATAATCCGGAGTCAAAAGTCGATTATATGAAAATAGTCTATTACATTAACCATTCCGACGCTAAGACATATTGAAAAGCAATTTCCCCAAGATATAAACTGTTATAGTGTTATCAAGACGTCGATGCGATAATTTTTTTTATAAGTGTACACGGGAATACTTCGTTAAAATCATCGAAAAAATAATTTGTAAAATATTTTAGATCAAGGTGGTGTCGACACGGTCCTTCTCCTGATAATCAAATTATTCATATGGTCAAGTTCACTGAATGTTCAAGAATTATCAGTTTATTATGTATTAGACAATCAGTTATTCATTCATGTAAGTAAGATTAAATGATAAATATTAAACCGATCTTGAATTTTTCAAACTCTCAATATATGTATTCAGTTTTATTATTTACTTACTTAGTAATGCATTTTATTTTACTTTAATTGTATAAGTCTGTTTCATTTTAATTTTGTTAGGAAGCATGACAAGGATGGCATGTTTTGACCATAAAAGTTGAACTGTCATGTCTCATCGATCTATCTCAAGTACTCTATTTTTTTTATAAATTATATACAAAAGAAGATGATTATGTCCTGTGTTTACAAATTTTATTTAGTAGTCATAGTTCATAGTTCAAATATATGCTGGCATGCCAATTGAAATACAATTTAACGCTCAATTTTTCTATAATAAATATTGAAGGCATCGTCCAATCCAATGAAGCGAATCTCTTATTCATCTTTAGTGTCATGTAAACTTTGGTTAATTGGCTGATAGCGAACAATTAATAGAATAAAACTAAAACAAATCCAACGTCTTCAATACATTAAAACATATCGTTAGCACTGAATTCGTGAATCAATTTATTTTAAAAGCAATTTTACAGATCATTGAATATTTTGTATGTTTATTATAAAACCCCAGCTAAAAGAATATTTTACACGTCACTTTGGCTAACTCGGCTGTGTATTTTTATGTGTTGGATTAAGTTGTTTTATGTAATGTATCCGTTTTTTATTCTATAGTTAGTCCCCACTTCGGTTTTATCATGTATATCTATTGTATAGTCATTTTATAAAATTTACTGTTTGCAAAAGTATAAATTATTCTAAATAATAAGGATGTTCTTGTCCCAGGCAGAAAACCCTGGCCGTGTTAGGCGCAACTTTTTGGAAGTTTTGGTCCTCGGTGCTCTTCAGCTTTGTACTTGTTTTGGCTTTCAAACTTTTTTCATCTGAGCGTCACTGGTTAGTCTTGTGTGGACGAGACGCACGTCTGGCGTATTAAATTTTAAACCTAGTACCTTTTGTTAGCTATTATTCGTGTGTTTCTTTGTCCTATATGTTCTCCCATTTATTTGTATTGTAGTCATGTCATGTAATGTTGTGATGTAAATATTATATTTAACATTGCCATAGAAGCGGGAGGTTCGGCATGCCACAAAACCAGGTTCAACCCACCATATTTTTCTTAAAATGTCCTGTACCAAGTCAGGAAAATGGCCATTGTTACATTATAGTTCGTTTCTGTGTGTGTTACATTTTAATGTTGTGTCTTTGTTGTGTTGTTGTTCTCCTCTTATATTTGATGTGTTTTATCAGTTTTAGTTTGTATCCCGGATTTGTTTTTATCTCTATCGATTTATGAGTTTCGAACAGCGGTATACTACTGTTGTCTTTATTTACAGTCATGATTAAACAAAAGACCATATTATTAAATATATATTAAATTTCACTGTTAAATATTTCGATAGTGTAATACAAAGAATCAATAACATATGCTTAGGAAACTGAAATATAGATTTAGTAGGAAAAAAATAGAAAAAATCTTTCTAGTTTTTATAAGACCTTTAAGTGAATAAGCCAGTGAAGTTTGGGATAATATGGGATTGGGCAATATTAATAAGCTGGAGCAATTACAGCTTCAAGCTGCTCGAATAGTAACGGGTTTACCTTTTTTACAAGCTCAAGGATAATTTACACGGAAATTGGATGAGAAACGTTGACTGAAAGAAGAGTGAGAAGAAAAATTCGCTGCGGTGTATCGCGAAGATTTGAATCATTTCTTTTGTAAATGTATATTATATTCAGAAAAACGAAATAAGCTTTTAAAAATTCTTAGCTGGCTTCTTATAAACCAATTATTAGATTAAGAACAATTAACCTCGGGTAGTTGTCTCGTTATTCTAGAGCAAAATGATAATATCTTAAAACAATTGTTTGAGTTTATTAGAGGGGTCGAATAATCCTTGTATTGTACATTTTTTTTTCTCTCTTCTTTTTTTGTTCCACTTAAATTTTCTGTGCAATTTGTTCAAATGTTAAAATAATATGTAATGTATGCATACTCTTGAATATTGTATTGTTAAATATGTTAAATGAAGAAGACTTCTTAAGTCTTGTGTCTTATCCAATTTGTTTTAATGCAAATAAAATATGTTTAAATTTAACATATTTTCAATCTTCATTTAGAGTTCATAACGTGGTGTAGTTACATAATTATATGAATAGACAAATAGAAAGAAAACACAAAATAAACATAGCTTTTTTATCATATTACACTTCATTTAAAACATTGAATGATATTCTGCCATCATTAAAGTCAACGTTACAGTCATTGTTAGCGTATGAACGCATGTTGCATAGATAAAGGCAACAGCAGTATACCGCTGTTCGAAATTCACAAATCGATTGAGAAAAAGCAAATCCGGGTTAGAATCTAAAACTGAAAATCGAACATATGTAAATAACATGTAAAATGCATTTACCAATACAATACGTCTCAAACCTGGAAATACTATGATAACATTAACTGTCTAGTGTTACTTCATTAGATTTGCATTTTGGCAATTAATGTCTCTTCAGTAATGCTTAAGGCCAAAATATTTCAAAATGCATCATACAAACATTGACCAGCTCATAAAGGACGTAAAACAAAGACAAACAGAAAAAGAGACAACTTTGCATAAGGGAAATGCATATGTTTTTTTTTTCTAAATGATGTTCTTTCTAAATTGTTTTACAGCAAATTTAATAAAATGAATATCAATTCAAGCTATTTTTCATGTAAGTATTTAAGTAGTAGCTAATGTGCAGCAAAAATACTCGGGTCGAACAGTCCACTGGTAAAGGTGTATGCCAAGTGGTTGAAATAACTTTTGTTTAATCTATGAAATAAAAAAAAAAGTTTATTTTTGCGATATTAAATCTTAAAAGAAATGACACATTCATTTAATGATCCGTTCTTGTCTAGACATCTGTAATCCAATGTAATATTTTGGTTCAATAGCTCGATTTTCGCATTATTTTCTTAAACAATTATCAAGTAACAATTAAGAAAACAGTTTTTTTTTCGATAAACGGGAATAACTTTTGTATAAATAACATATACTTACTATCCATCCGCCATTATCTGTATTCATATCGCAGTATACCGCAATTCCAGTGTTGACACCCTCTGGTTGTATTGTAAAGACACCACTAGGATCATTGGTATTCTTGTAGTACGAACAATCTTCGTTGTCCTGAATAAAACCTGAAAAAAAATCTTGAAATTTAAATTGTTTCAAACTGGACATAATGACTTCAAGACCAAAAACTCACAGTTCAAAAATTGACCGCAAAAGCATAGAAAACTCAGAAATACAACGAAAAGACAAACAATAGTCTACAAAACACTACATAAACAAACCAAGCAACACACAAACCGTCTAAAGCCTTGGGTTGACCTCAGGTGTTCTAGAAGAGTAAGCAGATCTTGCTCCACATGTGTCATCCGTCGTATTCACTTTATTACTTAAATGGGCTATTGATAGGTTGGACTAGAAAATTCTTACCACTACTGTATTGCTTGAAACTACAAAATGATAAACAATAAAATTGTACACTGTTGATACGATATTTCGAATTCTTGATATAAATATTAAATATATGTTTTCCAATACGTTTCGTTTTGAAATCCAACCACGCATGTTTTCAGCTAAAATTGGTTATGGTAAAATCTAAATTAAGCACAGCTAATTATGGTAAGCCCAGAAAACCGCTTAGGATGCATGAAATTTATAAAGCGTTTATTCCATTGCATGTCTTTAGTCTTGTAGAATTTCAATTTTTTCCTTATATTAAAGATGTTTTTCATTTTATACTTTGAGATTCTTTGACAAACAAAATGCTATGATAGTCTGGAGAGGTTCTTCATTCTCTATTCTTTATGGTTTTTTTTCTCAAGTAATTAATTGTTTAAATTCATTATTCTTTTTTCCGTAAAACCCCGTCTATACCATCGGAAATTAAGATCTGCGTGATTTATCGGAAAATATGAAATTATATTTCAGTAGATCTTATCCACGTTATCCTTGAATTATATATCTTTCCTTTTTTATTTTTATTTTTTTAATATCATTTTGTTTAATCAAATTATGTGTTTGTTATTGCTTTTTAGCATGTTTTTATTAACTTTCTGTTCATGGTTTGATTACGTCTACGGCTTATCTGTTATGTAAAATATGTATGTTGCTATATGAGGTGGAAAATATACAATTATATTTCTTTTCTGTAATTGATAAATCCAATCAAAACCAGCTAACGTATAAAGATATTCAGTTTCATAATAGTTGACTAACTCATTCAGGGTTTGTTTATTTACAGTTAGGGAGCAAGGTTATGTGCTAAATATGTTTTGCTAGTACGCCGTAATTATTTCCTATTGACAAATATCATACCTAATCAAATAAAGGTTCAAGTCCAAAACATTTTAAAAAGTTATTGAACGACATGACTTCTGCATACATCATCAACAGCAGGTTGACTTGGTGGAGTACATGTTAAGAAGAATTTACATTTAAATGACCATTAAGGGATAACAATCTGAACATCAATGCGATAGGAGTTGTTTGCATGGGGTATTTCACGTTTTTAACTCCGTAAAATATTCTTGATATCATGAACATGTAAAGGAACACAAGTTGAAACATTGTTGTGACGTTATTCTATTGTTGTACCCGTTCTTTATTTCAGTGATTGGAGTATCATTTACCTGTAAGGAACCATTATATTACCTTTAACTGTCTTATATTTTTTTAAGAATAACCCTCATCTTCCTTAAAAATATTGAACAGCTGGAGGTAGCATAGTTGATTCTTACAGGTAAATGATAGTTCAAGGACTGAAAAAAATCATTCAATTTACACAATTTGTTTCTTCATTTTGAAAAAAAAAATAAGAACAAATGACAATTACATCAAGAACATTTTTATTAAGGTCACTTTACAATACAATAATTTTTTCACTTATCAAATCGGTTTCTTGAAGAAAAAAAATGTTAGATTCATTGTAAAACTGCCAGCGTCAATACTTATTTCACAGTATTTTTTCTCATGTTTTGGGTTGTCTCCTTTAGCACCAATTTTGGTTGCCAATGTTCGTTGTAAGTTTTGTATTTGGTGCTTTTAGGTATTTCTTTTTGCACAACATTTTTGATATATTCGTCCGTCTTTGTATATAATAAAAAAACATTTGTGTTTTTCTCATTCTTCCTAATATCATTTTCAGCTACAATGAAAATGAAAAAAATAAAATAGTGCTTCTAACGCTTGATAGATCATACGAGGACCACAAATAGAATAATTTTATTATCATAATTAGCAGAAATCGTTCAATTGAAGTAGATGTTTTACTAAGTGTTGATGTGCTATAGCCACAGATTGTTCCTTGAACAAAATAGCTAATTAAGAATTTGATTAACAACCTAAACCTCACCCCGTGCAAAAGTGCAAATCGAGAACTTGCTTCATGCACTAAGGGGCTACAACAGTTTTTTTTTATAATTTTCAGGTGTCGGAGTTGATTTGCTAGTTTTTTATTTAAAAAATGATAATATTGCCTGTATAGGAATATAGTATAAAACTTTCTTTATCAACGACGGTGAATATAAGAAACAGAAAAAAGGAACACGTTACCACAATGAAGTCTATTGAAATTAAATGAAAATAGGTGCTAGATTTATTCATATGTTTGTTAAATAAGTTTTAGACAGTTTGTAATTGTGTTATATAAATTTGAACATAAAACCATTGTCTGCATTGAATTGAATGAAAAGGAGAGTTATTAACAAAGGTATTTTTACTATATAAAACGTCAAAATACGAATTACATTTGTTTCTTTCCAATGTACTGATCAACAGTTTTAAACACTAAAACCTCAAAAGTAACATTAATTCAATACAATAAATACATGTTAAGTACAAAAACAAGGATATGTACACCTACAACGCTTTTTTTTGAAAGAAAAAAGAAAACGTTGTTTGCAAAGGGAAATCGAGGGACAAAAATATATTTCGGTACTAAACATTATAGCGGGAGTTTCTCGCTGCATTGAAAACCCATTGGTGGCCTGAGGTTGTTGTCTGCTCTATGGTCGGGTTGTTGTCTCTTTGACACATTCCCCATTTCATTCTCAATTTTATGAAAAAAACAATAAAGGACATCAATACGCAAATAAACTAAAAAAAAAAGCGACACGAACCTTTCCGAAAAAAAACTAGAAAGGGGGGTCCAGGGGTATTCGGGGGTCCGGTTAAGGTAAACAATAACTTTCGCTTGCAAGACAACCACCGATTCAGGGTCAATTTATGTGAACGAGGGAGGAAAGAGTTGGGCCTCTGTCATACGGAAAAGTTATGAATCAATATTTTTTTTCATGTATAGTAGGTGAATATGTCTGATCGATTTCTTGATCTCCGGATATTTCATGGCGATGAATTTAGATATTATAAATATATTGATTCATTTACGTAAGTAAAAGATATAATTTTTAGATCATAGTTCTCAAAAAAATTCATTAAAATAATATAAATAAGAGAAATTCTGATGAACAACAAAATAGTTTAAATTGTTTTCACACTTGCTATCTCTTAATGTGTGCTCATTCACTTTATATTTAATAGCGTTTGTTGATGTGTTTCTTAAGTTTTTCTCGTTTCTCGTTTTTTATATAGATCAAACCGTTGGTTTTCATGTTTGAAAGGTTTTACAATAGTCATTTTGGGGGCCCTTTGTAGCTTGCTGTTCGGTGTGAGCCAATTCTCCGTGTTGAATCCGTACTTTGACCTATAATGGTTTACTTTTACAAATTGTGTGGAGAGTTGTCTCATTGACACTCATACCACCTCTTCTTATATCTATTGTATTCGAAATAAAATCGACTGCGGTGTTCTCGATATTGTTGAACCTTTTCTGCAACGTGAACTTATCCTCAAGCTTCATATTTTTTTTTTTTTTTTTTTTATTTATTTTTTTTTCTCATTCGCCTTTTGAGAAATAAAACCCAGAAGGGTTAGAAAAAAGTAATAGGAGAGAACTACATTTTAAAATATATATAAAACTTGCCATTTTTAGCTGCTATGACTAATTCCTCCTCGTTGTCCGCACTGCAATTTGATATATTTGAACACAAATTTGAATTTATTCCAAAGTTTGAAACAACACAATCACTGTATTTGACATCGCTGTCTTCTTGTAGGAAAGGATTTTTGCATTAAGAATATACTTTCATCGTCTTTATTCATTTTTAGACACCAACGCATGTGAAGGAATTCACGGAAAATATATAATGTAGTCCTAGCGCACGCAAAAACCATGATTCACAATGTACTAGGTCTTCATGTACATGTAGCAATACATGTAGTTAACCTGCAACTGTACTTTATTATCTTCTATTGTTTAAGTTGAGCTACTGTTTAAATGGGGCCAACATGAAGGATAAAAATGATAAAGTTTATCCAAAACAATTTACAGACTTGATGAAAAAAAATCTTAACACAATAAAATTGAGAATGGTAATGGGGAATGTGTCAAAGAGACAACAACCCGACTAAAGAGCAGAAAACAGCCGAAGGCCACCAACGGGTCTTCAACAAAGCGAGAAAATCCCGCATCCGGAGGCGTGCTACAGCTGGCCCCTACACAAAAATGTGTACTAGTTCAGTGATAATGGACGTCATACTAAACTCCAAAACATATAAATGAACTAAAATTAAAAATCATACAAGACTAACAACGGCCAGAGGCTCCTGACTTGGGGCAGGCGCAAAAATGCGGCGGGGTTAAACATGTTTTGTGATATCTCAACCCTCCCCCTATACCTCTAGCCAATGTAGAATAAACAAACACGCAGCAATACGCACAGTAAAACTTAGTTTAAAAGAAGTCCGAATCCGATGTCAGAACAGGTAACAAAATAAACTAAGCAAAATGACAATGATATCATACATAAATTAACAAAAAAACTACTAACAGTTCCTGACATGCCAGCTCCAGACCTCAATTAAACTGATTAAAAGATTATGTCTCCATCATATGAAAATTAAGCACAATCCCTCCCGTTAGGGGTTTAGTATCATACCATCATAAAATATATGAGAGGAACATAACCCGTATCATGCCAACAATTGATTTTAGAATAAATGTGTTTATTTCCGATGCAAAGACCCTATAAATGAATCAATATTAAAACCAAAATATGCCATCTTTAATGAC